AAACAGAAAAAGACTACTGTCTGGTCCAACATAGGGCCAGCTATGATTATACTGTTTCTTACTTTGGGAGAGTAGACTCTAAACTGTAAACTGTAAAATTCCACAAAACTACTGTTACTCTCTCTGTAACCGAAACACATACATTTAGGCTATTTTATGTGATCTCCTTTGGTAATAACTAATACAATGTTTGATCACTTCCATTCACTGAGCTTCCCCTGAAACTGTTTGGAGCCACCCTGGGGAGGCCTGCCCTCTGATCTAAACCATTATTCCTGCATTTTACCTATGTGTTCTTGAGGTTCTGTCTTGTAAAGGGCCTTCTGTCAAGATCTAAATTTAGCATCTTAAAAATGTTTTGTAGAATATATTCTTAAATTAAGTTTCTTTCAATCAAAATGTAATCAAAAAAGGGAGAGGCACTGCAAATTTTTGCCCCAAGGCTTGTTCATTCGTTCGTTCATTCAACCAGTCTTGACCAAAGTAATGTGGGAGACATTGCTACAACAAGGTCTGAAAGGGGAAGAAACCCGAGCAGTCACACTATCAGACAGGTTGTAAACACGGCAACAGTTTAGCCAAATTATCTAAAACTGGTAGCAAGTGGATTAAACTTGAATTCCTGGGCCTGAGCTTATAGTTATAGTGTAAGATGTGATCTCTGGTAGCAACACTAGCCCCTACATTCTGTAGCCCTTTCACAGTCCCCTAGCAACTCCAGGCAGGATGGACCCTCTGACGGATGTCAACTTGTTGAGGTGGCACATTTTAAGAGGGGGTGGTGGGGGACTAGGAGGAGGAGATGACTGCTCACAACTGCCCTTTTCAGCCCCTCGCTTGCACCAGCGCTGCTCACAGCTGTTGTATGATTGATGCCCACTCCCCAACCTGTCAACAACTCTGGCCTGTGCCTTGCCTCTGGAGAAAATACCTCCCCATGGCTGTCCACATATATCTAATTTTCTCCTAACTTTGCATATGAATGGCATGGACAAACATTCAACAAACAAAAGCCTTTCTTCCTCCCGCCCCCTCTCAACACATACCACATGGGAAACAATGTATTTGGAGCTATGTTTTTGGAACTTCTTCCCTCATCTTTATTCAGCATGGATTTGCCTTTTCATGTCCCCACATTACATCTTCATCTCATTTCCTCTCAAATCCTCATAGACACATTCTTAATCTCTGTGTGCCAGAGATCCATCTCACTGTTTTGCTAAGGCCTACAATATGGTAGCTTTACAAACCCCTATTTAAAAAAATCTGTCAATCAAGCTATTTGTTCAGGCAGTGCAAATTCATTTTCAATTACTATTCACTCCTGGTCTGGATAAGGCTTGAAAAAAGGAAATCACAGTGACTATTGGTCACACTGACTTAATCCAGCGATGAATGAGGAAATGCACGTACAGAAAGCTGTGCAAAAATTGTGCTGGGTGAATGAGGAGGAGGGCGAAGCTATTCATACAAGTTAAAAATACATATTTACATATAATGGTATGGGGTCATCAAGTGTAGACCCGAAGTTAATGAAAATGAATAATGGAAAGTGTGCATTAGGCAACTTCAGTAATTACTGCGCTACTTGGCCAAGGTGATTACCCAGAAGGGAACAGCCAGAGGACACTGCGAAGAAGTGGGAACTTTCTCCTGTTCTAACCACCACATGTGAGTCCCTGCCCTTGATCAGTGGGAGATGTTAGAGTGAAGCGTTAACATCCGATTAGGATGGTTGGAGAAGTGAGTAATGGACCTGTCTTTTAGAACAGGGTCTGTATGGTTGCCTCTGTGCTACACAGAGAGAGATTGGTGGTTTGTGGTCGTTGGCCGGCCTCAAATTTGCTTAGCTTGAGTTATGTCCTTGTTTATGTCAGACGCTGATGGGAATAGACCAGACGTCAAGCGCAAAGCACCAAAGCCATGCCCCCTTTTGGAGGAAAGGGTTCATTTAATGTGAGAAACTATGGCGAGTCGAGATTAGCAGAAGATTTTGTTGAGCCAAGAAAACAGGAAAATGCCATTCTTTTTGTGTAGCAGGTTGATTCAATGTAATATGTATAGATGTCTGGATAAGCAATGCCTGGCCAGGGTACCACGAACACTGAGGTTCAGGCAACATCTCTAAATAATAATTAGACATATGTATAAAGTAAAAGTTTGTTAGAAAAAAAAGGAATGCATGCAAACTTTTTCAAATCATATGTCAAATTGCATTGACATCTATAGGATCTTTGGTTTTCTATTCCTTAAAAAAGGTGCAGCTGTGACGTTTTGCACAATGTTTTGTACCAATATGTGCTGGTCTGGTCTATGGAGTTAAACAGACAAATCTGAGTCCCGTAAAGAACTTTAATATGTTCAAATTGAGCTCACTGATTTTCATTCTACAGTTCGGCCATCTGGCATTCTCGCCTGTTTGAAATTATTAGACACAACATCATGTGGCGTTTCATCTAAAGCAAGACTAAGCAACTTTTGCTCAACAGCAGCCACTGCAGCCACAAGTGACAATTATGGGATGGTGCCACTTCATTTTCCAAGAGTCAGTTGCTTTACAGGCATTAGGAGGTCTGACTCAGCTAAAGGAATCTAACCGCAAGCAGCAAACAAAAAGTCTCCTGTTTTCTTCTTGTTTTACTTTCGAGATAAAATCATTGAAATTTTAGTCTGTGACTTGCTAAATGTAGCGTAACAGGAGCAAATGTTTGCTAATGTTAGCTAACATTAGCCACAATAAGATACTGGTCACACCAGACCAAGTAAGACTGTGGCAGCAAAGTCCTCGAGGGAATTTACCATGAGTGCGTTTTATTGCTTATAAACTCAGCTTGTGCTTTTGATGTTTCCTTTTCCAGAAAGACTAAATGGCAAGTGATAATGATGCCTGCATGTGATTCAAAGGAAACCAAAAGGAAGGGTGTGTCTCACGTAGGTTGCTATATTTTCACATGTAGTGAATCACTTTACAGTGTAATGTTGTTGTCACAGTTTCAATGAAAAATGGGACACTGATGAGTGAGTCACATGTGATGGTATTCCCAAGAAGCACATCAACATTTCTACCCAGAGTTCAGGAAATTACCAGGCCAGATTAACTGATTTGGGCGTCCCTGGGCAGAAATTATATTTTGGGCCCCTACAGACCCCCAACCCCCAACCAGCAGTAAATCAAAAATATTTTTTCAAAGATTTACTGCTTCATTTATTCATTTTGGTGCTGTAGCCACATTGTCACACCACAATCCACTTGTTCCACTTCTTTTAAGTGCCATGCTTCGCCATTGCATGGTGGTACAACAGTGTCCATCAACATTACTTAAAAACTTAGAATATTAAGAATAATGGCAATTTTCCAGAGTGGATACCACTATATGCTCAAATCATGATTAGAATTATTATATAGATCTAGATTCTAGATTCTGCTACTTTTCTGTAGAGCTTAAATCCACTCTACTGGAACTATTTTAGCACTGTGGTAAAGGGGAAATGGCTGCTCACTGGACAGTCCACTAGCTAATGCAGTGAGGGAGCAGCTTGAGACAGACCCAAACACTGAAAACATTTCTTCCAAATTTCCCAAGCACAGAGAGGAAAACAGCCGGCTAAAATGCATAACAGAAGGCTGATATTTCAGTGATAGATAATGCTTGTGGGAAATCGTAGCTCATTAATAATGAGAGAGGAATAACTTTCTTCTACAAGTTATGACCTTAAAATGTTCTTGTGCAACCCCTTATCTTCCCCACTGTTTTAATTTAATTCAAATGTTTTTTTTTCCTGATAATATATTTTCACTAAGAAAAGGTGCATTAACGATATGTTGAAGTAAATAGAAAGAGTTTGGGGCAGGCAGAGACAGACATGTTGTTCCACGAGCTGCTTTACAGACGCTCATAAATGACAAAGAATAATTTTTCATATAATATTTGCAACATTAAATGCAAACACCAGCTTGTATAATCCTCTCTTTGATTCTCTGATTTAATGCATAGACAAGCCAATGCAGCGCTATAACATTCCAGTATTTGCATAATATCTCACCAGCAGTCTCTCTCTGTCTCTCTCTCTCTCACACACACACAAACACACCTACACACACACACATACATTAGAGATTCTGACTTGGCCTACTTTGGGTGTTGAGGGAAAAAGCAGCGCTGCTCGGGATGTGAACCAGGCATGCTGATTTTCCTGCATATGCATGTCTGTTTTTGTTGTTTTTTAATCATCAGAAAATGGTACAAACTAAATAACCACAATCTGAAATGTTAATTTATCCCCTCTCCTCCTTAATAGATATGTAAAAAAACAGAATGACAGAGGTGTGTATGTAGCAGCCAGAGGCCTGTGGGCCTATCCAGGACTCTTGTGATACATTATCAGCAGAATGAAGGCACGCAGATAAGGTGCAAAGATTATGTTTAGGGGTGCTGTTTACCTCCAGAGATAAAGCAGAGTGCTAACATTGCCCCGCCTGGTGTGCCACTCCCCGCACACAGTAGCTGAAGGCAATGGAAAGAAGAAGAAAAAAAACATGCAGCAGCACCTTAAAGCAGGCATGTTTGAGAATGGATTTGGAAGCAAATCAGCCCCACCCTTCAGTCTGAATCCCCCGGCCTGTGTAAATAAGCCATCAATGGCTGTCACATAACTGTTACACTGGCCAGGACAAATGAAGACGCAGGGTGCTGCCTGGGCTGCCGCTGCTGACTGTAATTGCAATCTTTCAGACGGGAAATGGCAAATTGCTCCTCTCATCATTAGCAACCAGCTAAGACAGAAAACAGACATGCAAGCCTGCAAACATAATTATAATGACATAGTGGGAGGCAGAGGAACTGCTATGGAACACATCTGGGGCTTTCATGAGACCACTGCAGACTGACTGAACAGGTCTGGCGTGTGTTTTTTTTCCCTCTCATGTGCGGCTGTTTAAATTCAGATCCCGGACAAGCGATTGCTGCTGTGTTTACCTAGCAACGACATGGCAGACTTACTCGTGCAGGCCACAGACGGAGGGTCAGAGAGGGCTCGGTAGTAGCCGTCCTCACAGTCGCAGCGCCAGGAGCCCTCGCGGTCGTTGAAGCTGTGTGCCGGACAGCGAGAGCACTGAAGGTCCTGGGAGGAAGACTTGTAGAAACCACGGCCGCACGCTGCAGAGGGAAAAGAAAAAACAAGGAATGAGTCCAGGGCAAAGAGAGGAGGACAAAGACAAAAAAAACAAAGCTGTAAACCCTGTTTGCACAGACAGTATTATGTGGGGATCTCGTATGATTTATCAGTTTCCCACACATCTCTCTATAATGAAATTTGCTAAAATGAAAAACAGGTGTAGTGTAGTACTCAATTTTGCAATTTGTCATACTCAATTTTTGAAAAAAATAAATAAAAAAATGACTGATAAGGTAGTGTTGGCCCCTTAAACTTATTCAGTGTCAGCTTGCAACCCCTTGTTACTGGTTTCATGTGTCTATGTTTAGCCTAAATTCTTCAGGCTACTTGTGTTAAAACAACATTAAATTCTAATGTATTGAGAAGTTTGGCATATTTTGTCAAAGCCCCTACAAGGAGCTTTCATTTTGTGATGATGGCCCCTGTGGACAAAAGCTAGTGTTTCTGCTGCCTCGTTTCATTGATCTTAAGGGAAAATCAACCAAATCTGACCTTGTGGCAGGCATGAAGAATAACTATAACTTTATAGAAATGGATCTTCTTGGTTGGTCTTTTTTATCTAGGTCATTGGTAGGCCTTTTTTTACCAACAGGGAAAAAGCTCTGTTCTGGTTTGTGCACCTAGTTTTGAACCACTCGGAGCATTTTGACCAGAACTAAATTGGCTTAGAACCCAAGAAAATTTCAGGTTTTCCTTGGTAACCAAAGTGGACGTGTCATATTGTACAGGTGGTTGTGCATTGTGCAGCACCCTCTGTTGATGAGGCATCCTTTATTAAAGTGGTTGTGCTGAAAACTGGTGGAAATCTTGGCTGGTTCGCTAGATAGCACCAAGGTTCCAAGAATCTTGAATGGAACCGGTTCAAGAACCAGAGATAATTTGTTGGAGAAGGAGCCTGATAGGCCTTTTCTACCAACAAGGAACTGCCTCTGAGTATTTTGAAAAAAAAAATTGATTTGGAACCCAAAAAGTTTGTTCCCAACCAATAAAATGTACGTTTTCTTCTGTATTCTACAGGTCAGGTACACCCTCTATTGATTAAGCATCCTTGATTATAATGGTTCTGCTCAAAACTGGTGGAAACCAAGAATCTTGAATGGAACCTGATCAAGAACCAGAACTGATTTGGTAGAAAAACACTTACAGAGGCATCAGTATTACATTGAGACGGTTTCATAACCAGTTAAAAACTCCTTGTAGTATGCTTCAATGAAAAAAATGGAATTTAATGGAAAAACATGTTTACATTCTTAAAACGTGCTACTTTAAGAATGGATAATTTTGCATAGGGACCAAAACTCTTTGCACTTATAGGGGCCCACAGCTCATTTATGCCCCTGGCTCCTCTAATGGGTTAATACAGCCACACTGGTTTAAAAAAAATTCTAATTATACCCACCAATAACCAGAAACTTAATAGATATATGAAATTCTCACAGCATGTTTTATTTAGTAAACCCCAGCTAAGCTAGGTTCACACAGGATAACATTCCCTGATGATCTCAGCAGTCATTACAAAATCACAGAATGTCTCGAGGTGATATTAGTCCTGTGCAAACACAGTCTTAAAGACTCCTCAATTCACACCTGAATTCCCATCATGAAGAGGGCATGACAGAACAAACCATTGCGTTCACATCTGGAAGCAGCCAGTATTTGAACAAACCTGTCCCCCTCAAGCTTCATCAAGCAGGCTGAGCCACGAAACAGCATCGCAAAGCTCACGCTGAAGCATTAGCCCCGGGAACCTCTCAGTTTGAAATGCTATTTTTATTCTGATGAATCCTCAGGTCAGTAAAGAGGTCTGACTTGTTTATAACAAGTGCTATCTCTGAGAGGAAACATTCTTCTGTAGAGTGTAGAGATAAGCGTACATATTGAGCACAAGCACATGGATCATTTCAACATTATACCTTTGACCACGGCAGTAAACAAACCTCAGACAGATATGACTAATCAAGAAAGACTCGTCGCTGCCTGTTTGGTGAGACAGTCATTTAAGAATTACGCTCTTAAACCCAAATAATTCACCCACCCACCATTTTTCTAAAGTCACAAATTATTCTCAGGTCCCAGAAGAGCCATGGAAGCAAACGACAAAGGCGGGACGGAAATGGCAAACAGAATACAGTGATTCATAGCAGCTTCACAGCGGATCACATGCATTTGTCGAGTTAATGTTTAAATACCAGTAAAAGGAGTAAAATGTCTATTCTGGGTCTGGCTATTTTAGCCTCCAAGTCGACTAATCCACAGTGACCGGCCATGTGTGCAAAACAGAGCTAAGCCTGTGTGAAAAACTGCAATCTAGGCCACATGATTTCTTAAACAATCTGCAGGAAATCTATACTTCTGTGAATAGCTCTGCATACAAACTATCAAATTACACCAAAAATGCATTTTTCATGAGCCACTGGGGGATATGAGCAATGATTTTCATACTGGGCATCCCCCCATTACAGATCTCAGTTCTGCTACTTTTTTTATTTCCTTTCTCCAGGGGGAATATATTGGCCACCACCTCCTGTGACAGGTCCAGAATGAGAAGGATAGAGGCATCCGAGTTTTCTTGTTTTCACACTTCCAGAGTGGCATGAAGAGGAGGCCTGGGCTCAGGATATCCCCATTCCAGCTACATGAAAGCCCTGTCATTCTCCATTTATTGCACCGCCGCAGCCTTCGTGGAACAAGGCCTTTTTTCAAGAGGAAAAAAAAAGACATGATTTTATCTCTAATCTCTCTTTACCTTTTCAAGCCGGTAATTGAAAACAGAGCCACAAGGAGGCTGTGAGCGGTAGGTCTTTAATGCTGACCAGGCGAAACATACACACAGAGTCTACAAGTGCCTACTCATCATATCTAGCTGCTTTTTACTGTATGTACAGTCCTGATGAGCGATAACATTTGACAAACAGCAAGGGAAACCATAGTTGCAGTATCTGATACGCAGTGTAAACACTCCCCCGTGGATGTTGATAATGACACTGAAGGGCTTTCTCCAGCAGGTTAAAGATTGGCTAGATCCCGTCTAAGACCGTGCTTTCTCCCACCATGCCGGGCTGTTTAAACATTCTGATAAGCCAGCGTGTCTGTTTGCCTTTGGGTTTCTGAAAGCTCATCTGCTGGGTGGCCGGTGTGCGGAGGGGGAAAGCCCGGCAGGGACTGAGGCTATCTCCCATCGCGACCACTACTTCAGCAGACAAGAGGATCCACAGTGCAGATTAGGACGAGCACAATTCTGGGAAGGGGCTACACAGCTTTACTGGGAAATGCTAATTATTTACAACTTCACTCTTATTTTCATAGTTTTTACAGTATTTCTGTTGGTTAGGGTCAGGCTGTTTATACCCAAACTCAGGCTACTTGATCCAACAGCAGTGCTTCCTAAATTCTAAAAGCTGTTAACGTGCCTGTGTAAAACGGATTAAGATAATTTATGCATACAGTAATGTAATAAGGGCTGAACTACACATTAAATCTTAATTGACCCCTCGTAAACCCCGCCCCTTTTTGCTCAGTGCTCCAATATAGGCTGAGCAGGCCTCGGTCAACCTTCTCCTTTCCTGTACTTAGATATGCTATGTGCTAGTCTGACGTCCATTTTGAAGATGGTTAAAAGATAAAAAATATCTTAAGTTATCGAATGTTAGCAAAACATTACATAACTAGCTAGCTAATCTGTTTTGCTGACATTAGCTAACTTCAGATATGACTATGTAGGCCGTTTTTATTTTTTAACCGTCTTTAAAATGTGGTTGTCTTTTTCAACGTAAACAAACCTAGCACATAGCATAAACACAGGAAGGGAGAAGGTCGAGGTTCCAATAGGGGCAGGACTCAAGTTCAGTCACAATAAAGGTATAGAACTAACTTCAAATGCATTTCTTGCAAAGTGCATGCAGGAGGTGACAGTAGCTTTATAGAGAAATATTAGCTCCTGCCAGAAAATGGACAGAAAAGACAACTACTGCTGTCCAGTGACCAATCCCTAACCCACTTAAAAGGGTCAGTATTGGCTGCGCTAATGTTACTGTCGGCTTGTTTACAACTCGCCTGATCGCCTTCCTGCCTCTGTTTTTTGCCCCATTGGACTTCACTGTTGCCATGTTTCTTGATCTAAGAAATTACTTTTCAAGTTCAGTGTTGTCGTAACTGATAGAAATGATGGCCCAAAGTACAAAAGGCCAAGTCCAGTTGATTAAAACTGGACTTGCCCTTTGACTCAATCTCATGAGCAAAACACAGTTCATTTTCTTTGCTTTTTTTTTTTTTTTTTTTTTTCAGAAAAAGCCCATGTGTTTATCAGTACGTCCGACTGCGCTTGGCACCCGGAAATGTTTACAGAAGCAACAAAGCGGCAACTGAGGCCTCAAAATTTGAATGCCTGCATGACACAGGCAAGTAAGTGTTTCTGCAGCTCTCCCCACCACTGGCAGTGCATTGAGTGACAAGTACAAACACAGCCGTCCCGGCCCAGCATTCCTCTCCCAGCGGCGGCAGCAGCAGCACGACGCACACCGACACGCTGCCGGCGAGTTTCCGTTCCTGGCAGCAGATGCCGCAGCAGAACTCTCAGACTGACACACCACGATGGGATGATAGTGAGTGAGAGGTTCCTTGTCGTTTGTCCCTGCAGCAGCTCTTTTCCTTCCGAGTGGAAATATCTACAAGGTAATTACACCAAGTAGCCTTCTTCACTGACAAAATGACTGACACCTTACTGGCAAACACTGACACACAAACATGTTAAAACATTATAAAAAACTCCAGACTCTTTACTACTTGCAAGGACTTTGACAGGAGGACTTACAGTCCAAAGTGTAATTATATTTGTAAGGTAAAGTCTATAAGAGTGAAAAAGGGCCATTTATGTAAGTCTGGTCTTCTACTGGCACAGATAAAGGCCGACTAATGGCTTGTCCTTGTTGACACGGGCCTGTTAAAAAAGCTCTGCAGCAGACACAACAGCCGGCTTATTTAC